AAAAAAAAAAAAAAACTCGACCACACCACCAAAAATTGCAGTCACATTAGTCACATACTTGCACACCTAGCCGGCGCAAAACCCAGCCTCGAGCGCTTCGTGTCGTACACAACACGAAAATTCTGCTGCTGATAGTTCCCGATTATCGACAGGCCCGAACGAGGAGTCCCAAGAATCGCCAAACACAACACATCCTCCGGGTCGAGCCTGATGAAATAATTCTCGACCGGGAAACTCCAAACCGCCCCATCCCCAAACACAATCGAGAACGTGGGCAGATCAACCGTGCCTATCATGCCCGACACATTATAACAAGGACCCAAAATCGGAAAATCCTCCACAAACGGGTAGCCCAAGACCTTCTTCACGAATGCCTCCTTGATGACCCGATAAGCCGGCTCCACAAAATAGGTAAGCGTAGTCCCCGAGTCCACGATCGTTCCTCCACCTCCCTCCGACGAGAAACCCCACGTCTCGTTCGGAATTTCCAATACCTCCCCTCCAACCACGATCGACTTTATCCCCACATAATAAAACGTTTCTCCTGGACCCTCGTTCGGGCCAACTAGGCCCGTAAAGTTCATTTCCTTGCTGTCCATCAAATCTTTATCCTCGCCGAAAATCAACTTGCTGCTAACGCTCGAGTTACTATTCCGGTCCACAAGACAGTACGAAAACGAGTGCCCGTAAAGCGACTGGAGCTGGGACGCGAACGAGAGGGGCCCACGCCCAAGGCCCAACAGGCCCGCCGCCCCATGAAACAGCCCACGGTTCCAATGGCCGCACCCAAACATCACATTCTCGACCCGTCTGAGCCCGAACGACTCGAACCCACCGGCCCGGCCCGTAAGGTTCACCGTGAAAGTCTCGACCGCAAAATCGCCCGTCGTGTTGGAGCTGTCCCCGTACCAGTAGTAATACGGGCAGCTCTGGTTTTGGGCCCGGCAGTCCACAGGAGGCTCGGGGGATGAAACAAGCCCGCAGCGCGGGTCCCGGCAGCCCACGTTTCGGTAAGAGCTCGACTCGTTCGGGTCGTAGTAAGGACCCGTTTGGTCGAAGCAGTCGTGGCAAGGGACGCATTGTATCCAGTTGAGGTCGCTGCCCGTGTCGAGGATCAATGAGAAGTGCCTGGGAGGGGTGCCCACGAACACGTCCATGAAGTACTCACCGGAACCGAGGCTGACGCCGGACTCCAAGGTGGCCACGAGGCGCCCGTCGAGGCCGCCGGAGGAATATTCCGGCGAGGGGGCGGGCCGGATTATCGGGTTCTTGTCAGAAATGCTGCTCTTCTGCATCTTCTGAACAATTCTCGAGTGGAGCCTTTGAATTCTCGTCGAGTCTTTTGCGGCGGACGCCGTTAAAGAATCCAAAGGTTGGATCTTTTTTCCGGCGGCGGACGAGTGCTTAAGATTGAAGACCACGGGTGGCTTTTTCACCGGGAAGTCTTTGTTTTTACAGGCACCGCGTTCTTGGGCCGGCTCAGAAAAGCTGCAATCGGAGCTCACGGAAGAGGACGCGCCGTTGAAGGTAGGAACTTCCGCCATGGCTGAAAAAATGGAGGCATTTTGAATTACACGCGCAACTGCTGAAAGACAGCATGAGAGCAAGTAAAAGTAGGCGACGACTAGCAAGGACTTGGACATGATGGGATAAAAAGCTCTGTTGCAGCTTGGAATTACAATTGTTCAAGTTGATAGGAATAGTAAAGTGTAAAAGGAGGGAGGATCTTGAAGATTGAATTTTTGGTACTAAAAATTGGCAAGAAATCAAGAACACCTGTGGAACCAAAATTCAGAACCCAAATCAAAGATTAGATCTTTCTTCCTAGTGGGCTATTATAAAATTGATCTACCTAAAGACTTTTTTTTGCCCATTCGATCTGGGGTATAAATCTTTTTTTTTTTTTTTTTCACTTCTTTATAAGGGAAAACCCAAAAGAAAAAGTGGGACAAGCAAAACACACAATAGTTTGCAAGGATGAAGAAAAAGGAAAATTGCAGCACATACAAAAGAAGGGGTTTGGGGGAATTAGGTGCAGACGTCAGTGGTGAAGAATATTGGAAAGAAAGAAAGAAGGGAATTTTGTAGTTGGGCTTGGAATTTTGAATGTGTGTTTTTGCTGAAAATTTTCAGCTACCCAACGCTACATCTGACGCGGTTTCACACAAGAATGCTTGCTGCTGTGAGGTTTAATATGTACGGTTTTGCTATGAAGTCAACCATTGGTTCAACAGTGAAGCCAACCTTCTATATACAACAAGTAAATCTACCATATTCGTTGATTACTTAAATAACACTAATATAATTTTATCAATATGGTAGGCTTATTTATTGTATATAGAAAGTTAGCTCCACTATGGAGCCAATTGTTGACTTTATAGCAAAACCGTTAATATGTAAGCTTTGGGAGTTTTGAGAACAATTGAGTTATAAATAGCCCCCAATAGTTGATTATAAAGGAAAGTAGTAGTACTTCATGTGAGTACACTTTTCTTTGCATTTTTTATGTTGATTCTTTTCATGATGTCTTTGAAAGGTGAGAAGTGTTAGATGGTGTGGAGGATTGATTGAGCCACGTTTGAACGTAGAACAAGTCGTGTTCAAACTTTTTTGTTAATGGGCAGGGTGGGTAAAGAATTTTATTTCAATTCAAATGGTTTACTACTTACTATTACAATCCATGCGAATTAATGTGGTAACCAAAAATATACTTTTTTTTTTTTTTTTAACTCGGTACCGTTGATCAAGATTTTTATTCTGACTCTTTAATATTGATAAATAAATTGAGCTCGAACTCGTTTATTCTGTCATTTATTTAACAGATTGAGTTCAATTTGATGCAGGGCTCAGCTTAATGTATATATAAAAAAAAAAAAAAAAAAGTAATTTAGTCTATGCTTGCAATCTCAATCTTTACACATGATTTTAACGTCAATCACGTTATCTTTGAAATGTTTTAATACAATCATTTTCTAATTGCAAAATACATCTTACGAGTCTTAATTCCTCAATTGGATAATTTAATTTGAAATCCGACTTAAACTATTTCACAATTTTTTTTTTGTTAAAGTTATCTGAGTTAATTATCAATGATTTTATGAAAAATTTAGAGCATACAAATAGTGGCGGAGTTTTTTAACACTGTTAAAATACAATAATTTAATCACTTCAAATGAAAAAAAAAAATCAATTTATCATTTAATATCAATGTGCTGCATTTATAAAATCTACTATTCTGCACAAAAGCCATCGTTTTCAAATTAGTTACGTGAAAGTAATCGGGCTTATTTTCTAATGGCATTTAGGCAAAGTAGAATTATAAAGTAAACCATTGCTTTATCCTCCACGATTGTGTGATGGTTGAGAACTATTAGTAATTAATAATTTTAGGGTCAATTCAAAATGTCCACTTTATTGCTAATCAGCCATCAATCATTGACTTCTAAAAATGAGGAACAACTTAATTCGTGTTCATGTTTCGACTAGTGTTGTTAAATTAAACATTCAGCTCAACTTGAGATTGGCTCGTTGCTCGGTTCAAGTTTGAGGCCTTAACGAGTCGAGCTCTTAAAGATCGTTTGATTAATGAGCCGAACTCGACTCGGCTCGATAAGGTTCGGAAAGAGAATTTTTGTATAGTTTTTTATAGTTCGACTTGTTAAAACTCGAGATCGACTCATTAAACGAAACAAGCAGCTCGTAGGTACGACTGGGTTGAGTTTGATCTTATTTTTGCTTGGTTTGTTAATCCACAAAAATATGAGTTTTTGCATATTACTAATTTTTAGTTTTGCTTATTAAGAATCGCATTTGCTTTGTTAATGTTCGAGTCCAATCATTAATACTAATATATGAGCCTTACTCGGTTCGAACTCGTTTAACAACTCTTTTTGTTGACAAGTCGAGCTTAGCTAGACTAAGGGTGTGTTCGTAAATCAATAAATTGACTCAAAGTGAGTATTTATTTTAGTTAACAAATGTTAATTTAAAAAAAAATGATATAATCAATTGTTAGTGGGATTTTAAGTTTATGATGTTTGAACGTAAATATGAAAGGGAAATACGAAACAATTTTCAAACAGATTTCTTCAATTCTTAGATAAAACTAATGTCTATTCTGTGTAAGAAGAGAAAATATAAAGAAAGAGTGACGCAGGAGAAACGTACTATGGGAAATTAAGAACTCACAAAGAGAACTCAAGAGATAATTTATTTCATTCAACGTCTGCTTTACAATGAAAACTCATCCCCTTTAAATAGACTTCCTAACCCTAATTTTATTTAGTAATAGATATCCTAAACAATAAATAAAAGGAAATAAATAAAAATAAATATAAAGTCTATAAATAATAGATAACTAGATACGAAGGCGATCAAACTTGTCCAGATAAGCCAATGCGATCTCGTCGCCATCATTCTCCCCCGGTTGGAGAGGATTCGCCCTCGAATCCGAGGGGATCTCGTCGTCAGAGTTGTCACCATGGAAAGGGACCAGGTGCTTGACGTTAAAAACGTCGGAAGTGCGAATGTGTGATGGAAGGCGAAGGCGGTAGGCGTTCGGGTTGATTTTCTCCACAACCTCCAAAGGCCCAATCTTCCGAGCCGAAAGCTTGTTGTACTCATGAGCCGGAAAACGGTCTTTAGTCAAGACCGCCCAAACAAAATTGCCCACCTCAAACTCCACATGCCGCCGCCGTCGGTCGGCCTGCTGCTTGTACGCGACCGTGACATGCTCGAGACGGGCCTGAGTCGTCGCATGCGTCCGCCGCAAATCGGCCATCAAGTCCTCGGCCCGCTTATCAGCATCCCCCGGGCCCGACAACGCCAATAAATCAGTAGGTCCACGTGGCTGGACGACATAAACGATCTGAAAAGGGGAGAAGCCCGTGGCCCGGCTCACCGCCGAGTTGTGAGCAAATTCCGCCTGAGGGAGGCGGCTGTCCCAACTGCGCACATTCTCCCCGACCAAGCAACGAAGCAAATTCCCAAGAGACCGATTAACTACCTCAGTCTGCCCATCAGTCTGAGGGTGATAGGCGCTACTGAAATCAAGGCGATTGTTCGTCATCCGCCAAAGGCTCCGCCAAAAGAAACTCAGAAAACGTGTATCACGGTCCGAGACAATAGACGAGGGAAGGCCATGCAGCCGATAAATTTCACGAAAGAAGAGCTGGGCTACATGAACCGCGTCCGTCGTGCACTTGCAAGGAATAAAGTGGAGCATTTTAGAGAAGCGGTCCACGACCACAAAAATAGAATCAAACTCCCGCCGAGTGCGAGGCAACCCAACGACAAAATCCATGCTGACGGCACACCAAGGCTGAGTAGGAATGGGCAAAGGCCGATAGAGGCCTGCATTAGTCGACCCCCCTTTAGACACCCGGCAAATATAAACGAGACACATCCCGTTGCAAGGAAGGCCAAAAGAAGGACTTATGGACTAACTCCATCGAGCGGTCCCGACCGACATGTCCGGCACCATGCAAGTCAGCCACCAGCTTCACGCGCAGACTACCTTCCGGAACACATAAACGGAGGCCACGAAATAAAAACCCATCCACCAACACATAATCCTCAAACGGGCCCGATGACAGTCGAGAAAAAATAGGGCCGAAGAAAGGATCAGAAGCATATAAGTCACGAAGGACGTCAAACCCCACCACCTCAACTCGCAAGTCATATAATAACATGGATCTCCGGCTAAGTGCATCCGCCCACCCTATTAGAAGCGCCCGACCTGTGTTTCAAGACGAAAGTGAACTGCTGTAAAAAGGAAGTCCACGTGGCATGGCGAGAAGAGATGTTGTCCTGGGAAGCCAGATGGCGCAGCGCCTCGTGATCAGAAAAGAGAATAAACTCACGGTGAAATAGGTAGTGTCACCAATGGTGGACTGCTCGGTACACAGCATAAAACTCGATGTCATAAGTGCTATAACGAAGCCGTGGGCCGGAAATTTTCTCACTGAAGAACGCCACCGGACGCGACTCCTGACTCAGAACCGCACCAATGCTTACCTTAAAAGCATCACATGAAAGCTCAAAGGGTCGAGAGAAGTCAGGTAACACCAAAACTGGAGCCGAGGTAAGACGCTCCTTAATCAATGCAAAAGCCGCGGCCGCCTGGGGAGTCCAGGCAAATGCCTTGCCGGCGATACAGTCCGTGATCGGGGCCATGATAGAGCTGAAATGAGAAATGAACCGTCGGTAGAAGGACGCGAGGCCATAAAAGCTCCGGGCCTCGGTGATCGTGGACGGAGTCGGCCAGTCCCTGATTGCCGCAATCTTGCCGTCATCCACCCGAATACCTTCTGCCGAGACAACAAAACCCATAAAAAGCACCGAATCCGCCAAAAAGACACATTTATGTGGTGCATCATAAAAAGAACTCCGCCCGAAGAATAAGAAACACTTCCCTCACGTGGCTCAAATTCTCCTCCAAAGTACGACTATAAATAAGAATGTCATCGAAATAAACGACAACACACTTACCGATAAGATCCCGCATCGCCTGGTTCGTGACCCGCATAAAGGTGCTCGGGGCATTCGAGAGGCCAAATGGCATAACTAGCCACTCGAAGAGGCCCTCGCAAATTTTAAAGGTCATCTTCCATTCATCCCCCAGACGAATTCGTATTTGATGATA